CAGGTGTCACATTATTATAAGGAAGTCGGAATACATTTTTATTATTATGACAGTATATATTATAAATATTCATTCCTGTTTTTCACATCTTAAATGAAAATACATACAAACCTTTTAATGATAAACATATGAAAGTTTTATCTTCGGAAACCTGTCATAATAAATGCTTTTGGAATAAATCTGAAGCGAAGAATTATAATGATAGATCATATGGTATATTCTCAATACTGTCATTCCGCTTTCTGTCTGCTGTAGGAATACTTGACTATTTTTTTCAATATTTTGTGATAACGAGATTCCAATTATTTAGAATGATTTTTTCCCCGGAAAGCCGTTCAGTGTTTTATTGTAAAATGTTTAAGAACATAAACTATGGGGATAATGGAATGCTAACACGTCTTGACAAAAGCTTCAATATCTTTATCTGAATGTGATATAGCATAGAGTGGTGTTTAATAAGCACAACATTAAGTGTTTCAATTAATGGCGGATTATTAATGCAGAAGATAAGCAAGCTGTTCTAGGGAAGTATCTTTTTAATTATTCACTGTACAATCAAAACATTGATTTCATTATCACCACACAGAGAGTTGTGAAGTATGTTTTAAGGTAGCTAGTAAAATGTAGTGTTCTAATATTCTTCTTTTAGGCTTCAACAATTTCGTACTTCATTTTCATAGTGATGAATTTGATTTTTAAAATATCAAACCACATTAATTAAACTACTTTAAACAGTGTAGACAAATGTCATATTTACTCATTTAAATACGATACAAAACCATTTTGAAACATTTATTTCTCAGGTTAATTAGTATGAGGATGTATCAGATTGAATTGACTATACTTTTTCTACAGATTCTACCAACGTTGATTATATTATTATTTACAAGACAGACGAAATGATACATTCATCATTTAAAAGCTTACATTTTATTTAAAGTTAATTGTATTAATACGAACCATAAACCATGAAATGTGCGCATTTGAAATAGAAAGTACATGTTTTACCATTATAACAACTTGCAATAAAGGACATCAAAATCAGAACTTTGAAAGTTTTTTTTATATTACTTTTGATCATATTTGCCAAATTTCCAAAGACATTCATGAACATTTGAACATTATAAGGCATTTTGATTATCATTTTTGTAAGGTTGTCTGATTTTCAAAGAAACTGGTACAGTTTCTGCTATTGCTTTCTAGAACATTTTACATTTTTTATCAAATATGAACAGTATCGATCAAACACTTTCTGCATTTTTTTGGAACCTCCTCTTTTCTCAACGGTATATTTTATTATTTCAATTTTTTTTATTGACGTCTTGTTATTCATATTCTATTATCAAACTGCACAAAATATATCTATCTATGCGATAGTAATTTTATTGATGCCAGATGTAACAGTTGTTATCATAAAAAGGTGTCAAACATCGCGCAAATAAAAGATTATTAAACCGAATGCTAAACATACAAACTATCTACATTGATTAAGATCACGAAGACTGTTTGAAATCTATAAAAATAACTATTTGATGACAGATGTCCAACAAAAACCAGCACCCTGCTATGCAATAGCCTTTTATTGAACTTGGCAATTTTGTACGAACAAATATCACTCAACCAGTAATTTTCATCTTGTTATTATAATCTAATGATGAGGTTTTCTAAGATGATAACCTTGAAGTTATGCTGATAGTTCTGATTGATTTTTTGCAACGTAACGCTTTGGAAAAGTTCACAAGCATTTCACTTTATAGTGATTAAATATCTACAAAAGAAAACCCAAAAAATATCTCGAAATGGTAACCAATTTGATCAAAGAATATTTAACTGGTTAGTTCCAGAAGTCATATGGCGAAAATCTTTTATATCAATATGACAATTTCTCCCCTTAATTTGAAATAAAATGTCATCGGCAGAACATGTTTACGAACAATCTAGAACCTTTCTTAATATAATTTTCTTGCTGTATCCATGTTTGACATGTTTTCAATACTGTCATACGATTCTTTATCTGCCCCGAAGCCTTGCTAGTATTTCTTCAATAGAGCGTAATGACAGATCCAGGAGTCTTAAAAAATTTACTTGTTTAAGCAGAATAAACACCATGTGAATAAAACGTTCACTGAAAAGAAATGTCAGGATTTTCAATTTGTTCAAATTCGTTACAAGAAACACTTTACTTGTCTTGACGATGCGTAGTTACAAAATTTGTTATCCTGTTTTATCAAAGGTGCACTCTTTGAAGTCGGATTATATTAAACTAAGGATGCGTTTATTTATTCGGGAAGTACTTATAATTATTATATTGCCTTCTTCAATCTGTTATTTTATATGGCGTTTCGTTTCATTGTTTGTCGCATTAATGAGTTCTTTATACGGCATTGTTATCAGTAAAAGCAAAAGTACATAATGAAGATGTAATGAGTATTTATGTAAAAATGTTATAAATTTACAATCATTATCTTTATTTTAAGAGAGAAAATAATATTTGTTTCGGCATGAACATTTCCAATTACAGCCTACAACTAACTAGAAAGTAACAATTGTCATTTATTTATAACAATATTTCATACCAGAAATTTGTTGAAAGTTTTTTATGATTTTCAAAATTGTCACTTATTTCGAATATTCAGTTTTATTTCTTTAACAACCCTAGACACAACTCTAGACAAGTGAGATTACTCGGGAACAATGACAAAAAAGTTCAAATCAAAGACAAAAATTATTGAGTCTGTCAACGAGAGATTATGTAAACCGTACATCTCCGTATTTCAAGTGTCCCGTATTTTTACCCGTATATTAATGATAAAAGGAAAAACGTACACTTCCGTATATCGATATATTTTTCGCAGTGTATATTCAAGGGTCAATACTAAAAGGATTGATGCCAAAGAGCAGAAAAGGCATTAAATTAATATTATACATGTATATCTTCCTATGTAATTTCAGATAACGATACAATACAGATAAACGTGATCACTTTAATAATTTCTTCAGGTGCCATGATTAAAACGTTCTTTACACAAAAGAGTGCCGTAATTAAAATAAATTAAATTATAATTAAATGTTTATTTAGAGTGAGCTAATAGAACAAAGTCTGTTTAAGCCTTAACCTGCTGACGTTTTTGTTATGAATCTTCACTGTCTTGAAATTGGAAGAGTCCAGTCAATGTTTCTCACTATTCTATTTTTTTTTAAGCTGACCAATACCTTTTTGCGTTTGTTCTAAATAAGTATTTTTGGCTTATTTTACAGCACAGTGTGCCTCAGAAATGAATAAAAAAAAACTCTCTGCTTTCGATAGGGCTAACTTGAGTTTAATAATCTTTAAAAATGATTTTAGAGCAGTTAGATGCTTATCAACTGAAGATAACACCGAATGTAAACTTAATTGTCTTAAGAGTACCAAAATGAAAACAAAGTGACTTTTATTCAATATAAATTCAAATATTATTATTCAACTTAATCGATGTAACTGTACTGATAGAAGTACAAGATAGGTCAGGAAATGAACCAAATTGAAGGAGTACCGTTTTGGAACTTTATGCAAACACCAATTTTTTTTTTAAAGCTTTTGAGAAATGAAAGTAAAAGCATTAAAACAACTTAAATTAAAATTTTACAATTAGACAAAATAGTTTGTTTGCTTGTTGTCTTTTTTATATTTTGTCAATTATAGAAATTTATATTGAATAGTATTCCCAATATAATTGAAGGAAGTTTAATATTGTAAAGTTTATAATAGATTTTTAACATATGTTAAGCGACAAGAAGAATATTATTATAGTAATGTTCAGCAGGTCGGACTTATGTTTTAGGTAACAAAAGTTGAAAGACATGAAAGCCAAAGGCGCGTTTTGTGTACATTCATTGTATTTAAATTTCAGTTAAGAAACTACATCAAAACTATGGCAGCTAAGAAAAGTATATGATTTTGATGTGTTTGGCATATTTTCCCACAGTTATACTTAATCTTTCTTTAGAATAATAAAAAGTATTTACAAGGGTAAAATCATAAATAGTTTTGTATTAAAAAAAACAAATAAAAGTGAGAAAATGTTTGGTAATAAGTTTGTGATAATGAGCCAAATACATCATAATTATATACAAATGTACTACTGCTTAGTACTTTGAGATGGCTGGAACAAACAGAATAAATTTTTGAGATGTTTTACGTTTTCGCTATCATATATGCAGTGTACACTTATATGAATGTGTATAACTTTTAAAAAATATAATTGGAGATATACCGATCTGAATTAAAATTTATAATTATACATGGTGCTCTTGAATACTCAACACAATATCCATAACTATTTTCCTTTATACAGTAGAAGCTCTGTTATGTTTTCAATTAAAATAAAACTTAATAAGTAATACCGATTATATACTTTGACTAGAAATGATATAAAAGGAGAATAATCAACAGCTTTGAAAGACTGTATAAAAGTTATCAGTATTATTTCAACTTAATGTAAAGCTAACATTAAAGTGACTTTAGTCCCCAGTCAGACACAATCTTACTTATTTAGAGTGTGTCGAACTAGATCTATATGATGCCTGATCTGTAAAAATATTATTAATAATTTTTTTTTTTGAAAACTTATATATCACAATATTGCATTTTCAACTTCATTTATCTGGCACATAAGAATAAACTTTTCATGTATCAGGCTAAATATAGAATTATTGTCTAACCTGTCAAAACCAAACGCTCGAATAAATACTCATTTTTTAAGATTAATCACTTGGTTATTAATTTCAGCCCCCATGTGTCAAATGCATATCATGAATTTCATTGTTTGTTACTAGGAATGTCATACACGCCTTTATTGACATACACACTCCATATCACGTGGTACCAGCCTTGTATAAATATATCCATATCTCATGAGCTGTTGCTTTTGTAAAAATTATGCTTTATGGAATATTTTAAACATGAAAAACTTGTATTCGTTTTTAATATTGATGGTTCAAAACTTTCTTTTCTTTTTCAGATATATGTAAGTCATAGACATACGATAATACGGCAGATAATACCTTAATCTGCATTGTTTATGTTGAACAAAAACATACAAGGATTGATTGTTCCACCGGATTTGTAAGCAAATTTATATTGGATTTACAAAACTACAGCCGGCTTTAACAAAATACATGTGCTTGTATTTACAAATGTGAATACAACCACGTCTTTATAAAAAAAAGAATTAGTGACACAGAACAGCATTTACATACATCTACAACTTGCTTCGATAATTATTGGTTAACAAAGCGAATAATGGAGACATCAAATGAAACAACATCGTCTGAAATGGTTACAAATGGAGTTGCAAATTACAGTGATATCTATCCAGTGCGGGGCCCTCTTGTTGTTCCTATATATCAGCAAGTGATTATAATAACTATGTACAGCATCATTATTCTTCTATCAGTCTGCGGAAACTCAATCGTCTGCTACATTGTTTTCTCTTCAAAGAGAATGCGAACTGTGATGAATTTTTTCATCGTCAGTCTCGCCTTAAGTGACATTTTAATGGCCGTTATATGCATTCCATTAACGTTTGTTGCAAATCTCGTTATAAATTCCTGGCCATTCGGCGATACTTTATGCCCTGTCGTGACATTTCTTCAAGTTGTCACTGTCTTCATGAGCTCCTTTACTCTTGTTGCAATAAGTTTGGATCGTTACTCGGCTATAGTGCACCCACTGCGACCAAAAATGACTAAACGGCAAGCGTTTATTGTGATATCTATTATATGGGCTCTATCCGTTTTTATTCCACTCCCGACGGCTATAACGTCAGAGGTTCACCAATATATCAACGATACTAGCGCGCCATATTTCTGTGAAGAGGTTTGGGAGAATATAATGATGCAATCTATTTACAATGCTATTATTCTCGTATTTCAATATTTCATTCCGCTCATGATACTTATATTTACCTACGGGAGGATCATATTGGTTCTGTGGATCAAAAAGCCTCCAGGCGAAGCTGTCTCAGACCGTGATGAAAGAATGTCTAAATCAAAGAAGAAAGTAAGTACTTGTTACCGTACCAATAATTATAAATATTTTTCCCTTCTTTAGACCATACATCTGTTTATGTTCAGTCATCGTGTTATTATCTTGCGTGAAAGACATTTTGTCTATGTGTATCATTCGTTCGTCAACATTAAACTGTCCTTTGTTTTTGGATGCTTTCGTTTAATGCCACACTTCCTTGATGATCTTCATTTTTCGAACTTTTAGTAGATAAGTAGTAATTGTCCCAAACTTTGCTGAAGAAGTGTTTATTATGATTACTATCAACACAGCGATCCATGTTTTCAAATAAAATGTTCACTTTTTGGGATAAATTTCTAATGATGCGATGAAGTCCGGTTAAAATTTCATTAAAGAAAACATAGTGCTCACTAAGCAAATAAGGGTCAGAATTAAAAAGTTGTTTATACGTATCGAAATTACCGGTCGACAACAACATTTTTTTGTAGGCTTCTTATTCATGTAAGTATGTTCATTTAGGCTTTAAAGGTGTTACACAGGAAAATAAAAGAAAAATGAAATATCTCCATTCCAAGGTTTGCAACATCTTTAATTTCGCAAAAATGGCGATCGTTTAGGGCTCTTTTGTATTGTCCTTAAACTTATCTCTAAAAGATTATACATTCATCCCTTATCTGGTATAAATATATAACAATTGCTAAAATATCCTCAGGATAATTGTTATGTTAGAAAATTATATCTCCGTCAACAATTGTCGTTTACTTATTAAACTACCATAGTTGCATTATGAGACTGTTTTATTCAAATTATCTTTTTAACCAAGGACATTATTGTCTGCCCGAAAGTTTTAGAAGGCGTTCATGATTTTGTTTAGTTTTTTTTGAGATTTTTATATTTCTTTGCACAGAAAAAGATCTTATGGGAATTAATTTCAATGGTAAAGATTATTGTTGTCAAATATAATAGATTTATAAGTCAAAACGAATTAATTCAAGATAATAAAATCACATTCCTATGCAAAAAAGAAATTTTGATTATTAAATCTTATTAATTTATAGTAATCAATGTCATATATACCCATACATATATTTTCATTTACTTATGCTTTTAATGCTGTTGAAAATACATTTTAATTCTATATTTTAAGATATCTTAAAACGTTTGAGTCATTAATGTAATCTGAGACAATTTGTGCTTATAAATGGCTGCTGTTTAGCGGGTGATAAAATACAACGAGGGCTATATTATTTTTAGTGTGTTTTAAGTACAAATACGAATATACTGGAGAGCAAACAATACTTTATTTCCAAACTTACTATCGTAAAAATCTTATTCTGTGAAGTAATAGGTTTATCTATCTACAAGTTAGGACATGTTTTTGAATATGATAGAAGAGATTTTGCAAAGATTAACTAGACTTAATTTCTTTGACAACTCAGATATCTCTCCAAAGTAATTTCTTACTAAATGGAAATGCCGCTTTGATAAATACCATGGTAGCAGTATTGGAAAACGTCGACTTTAAGTAGGTATCGGAGAAGATTGTTACAGGAAAGGGAATTGGCAAACATTAAATAAACTTAATTTTTCTGATTTTGTAGATAGTTCGAGGCTTCATCTTCGTCTTTTTTGTAAATACGATGTGAATTAAATTGATGAATTTTACGGAAGCCGTTAAAGAAATCATCAAGAAGAATTATGTATAATTAAAGCCTGTTATTATATAAAGTAAAATGTTAACATTGCAGCTAAAGTATCTCCGTTTTACGTTTTTATAATATAGTACCTTAGTATATTTGATAAGTGCACTATAATTATAAATAAAATATGAATATGAAAATGAAAATGGCCTCGTTAAATTATTTTAATTAAAACATACATATAATGACTTTACTTGAGTTTTGTTTTCTGTTAAGATACATAAAAATGCGATTTATTATATTTCATGTTCTGTTCTGTCAGTTCACATGATGTAAATACTAAATGACTAAAAGCTTGCGCGTATGTTGTACAATAACCGCAGGTTAATTTTCAAACGACAAGTTAATATCTCACCCCCAGGTATTGCTTGGTTTTAATAAAACATAAAGCCTCGCGATATCTATCAGAACAATCTAATTTGTTATTGTGTAGATCTAATCTGTTCCTAAATGTCAACATAAGAAAACAATTATTTTCTTTTCGATTTCTCGTTGTCACGAATATACGATATATTAACGTTGAATAATGTGGTGAAATTTGTTCATGGCGAGTTAACAAAATGTCACAGTCAAGGGAACGGAAAGATTGTTTTGAAAATACCAATGTTACTTACATTTCACTCTTTAAATAAACAGAACATTCCTAAAACATTCTTCAACTTAAGATTATTAACATTCTACATTTCCAAATACAATAATTTTACTTTTTTAAAAGAAAATCAGTCTAAAGACCCTTTTAAATAAATTTCAGAATTAAAGATTCTTACAATAAAAATAGACAAATACCGACCACAATGCGTCTGATTGTTTTTAAACACAAATATTTACACACATTAATTTGTTACGTTTACGTTTATTACCTATTTGATACGTATACGTTTATTAACTTTGCTTGTTTAGTTTGGTTTTAAGCCGAAAACACAATTTAGGTCATCTGGCACCAAACAGGAAACATGATTTTGGCTTACCTCGAGTGTTACAAACTTCAACAACACCAGGGGCCAAAACCCCCTCACCTGTTGGAGCTAAAAGGTGCATATACTCTAGTTATATTCGAACTCGTAGGAATAAACGGTTCTTGCAATTAGGATGTCCAAACCCTTACAAGCAAACCTTTCCGCCACTAGGGGGCGTTATTAAATAAATGTTGTACATGTACCCATATTTGAACACATTAAAGTTCTTTTATACATTGTAGAAACAAAACAAATTCCAAAATAAAGTATTCCACGTTAGTTCTCTTTACGAAAACTCGCATGTTTAAAATACTGTCAAAATAATTTATCGTCTTGTAATAAACAATAACAACTAAGAAATTTAAAGCATACTTAAATGTCTTCCAAGTAAATTAATTCCAGACTGCCATTGATTATATGATGCAATAAGATATCTACAAGGCCTAATAATATTTTTGTAGTTATTGCACAACACCTATGTCGAAACACGGTATCTTAGGCTTAAAAAATGAAAATCCCTCTGTTGTCCACATTTCTTAGAAAGAAATAACAAAATATTTCTGTTACATAATAAATATGCTAGTGTAAATGCAATCGTATTTGACTGAATAGCAACTTAAAAAGTCTTCACGGTTTTTTTTTCTTTGGATCTCTTATAATAATTTAATTCAGAAGGTTCCAAGGCAATGTGGAGGATAAGATGTGTAACGTGAATTTTGGTATTCTATTCTCTTCCGTTGATTTCGTGTACAGATATAGTTTCATTGTATTTAAAAGTACAACAGATTACAAATCTTCTTAATGGGCAAAGAGCTTACACTTCGACATTCTTTGAAGGTCCGTTCAATATATCTTCTTAATGGGCATAGAGCTTATACTTCGACATACTTTGAAGGTTCGTTCAATATAAAACAGCAATTTGATATTCATATATAAATCAAGTTGTCTCGACAATTCTTTCCTTCCGCCTCCGAATTTCCGTGCCAGAAAAGAATACCAGATTGAATAATTACATGCTGACCGTATTGATAAAACATAACTAGAGAGAAAAAAACATATAAGTGATGCGTTTGGGAATAATGTGAAGTCAGGCCCTCACAAATTCAATACTTTTTATTTCTACAATATTTTTATGTATTGTTCCTAATCCAAAAATAGTTATGTGTTAATGTGTCTTTTAAATAGGCAATAGTTATTAGCATTATTGTAATAAAATCGAATCAATTTGTGTTTGTTATATCTGTTAGTTTGGTTGTACTTGCATATTGAGTCAAAACAATCATCTTAAAATGGAGAAAAATGGAATCCCTAAAGAAAACCCAACACGGCAAAATTGAAAAAAGTGTTGATGGCTCAGTTTGATTGAGTCTGTTCATGGACGGTCTTGTCAAGTGCAAGTTCCCGTCCACACCCCCTAGCACCGGCAATGCACAATTCAACATGTAAACATCAAGAAAATTGTGACATTTTGAAGCCTGTAATTAGTACTTAAAAAGCCACGGAGAGTATATTGGTAAAAATAAACACTTAACATCTTCATATAACAATTTTCGACTAAAGGTCTCTCATAAATAATTTGTCCATTTGTGAACTTTATATGACCTCCTTAAGAGATAAGATATCAAATGAGCATTTGATACAAATCAAATTGTCCTTATATTTTCTTATACTTCCAAAATACTTCAAAACCTTTACCAAAATTATACCAGTTTAAAGACATGAAGTTAGTTTTGATTAACAGTAGTTAGGAGCGTAACAGATTATCGATACTACTAAAGCTACGAATTAACAATGGCAATGAATCGTCCAACAGGTTCCTAGTTTTAAATTGGCACAAGCGATTCAAAGACGCCGAATATGAGATCAGACACAAAGCTCACGAGCTGTCCGGCATATTTAATATCTGCATCGGGTCTACATATACAATTGATAATTCTTACCAAACAAATTAATTTAAACAATGCTTTATTTTATGTTTGAAATTAATGATATTTGCGTATTTCCAAAAACAACCTTGTAACGATACACAGTAATTTTAAATATATTTTATTTTCCTAAACTTTGTTTAAAATTTGCTAGCTTGTCTTCAGTAATAGAGAAAAATTCTCTTTCGTCTTCCGAAATATACACTGTTTCATTCCTGACTACTCCACCAATGACGCATTCATCTGGCTTAATTTAGCGCATGTCTAAGTCCACAAAAAGATGATTGACATAACTTGGAGGGAAATGAAAAACAAAAACCTCTACTTCGGTGCAGTATAAAATCTGAAAATATCTCAGTTTCGATTTGTTTTATGTCTAAAAATAAACCATTTAGTGTATTCCTGTTACATTATGTATCTGTATTATAACTTCATTTATTAATAATTATTACATTTTTGACTAAAAACATCCTCATGTGAAGCATTCATTAAAATATGATAAACAAGATCAACAAGGAAAGGCGGTGTTCAATGTCAGAACGCAACATTCATTCAAGGCTGTACCCTTTTTCTTTAAATACTGTCCATATTCTAAAAATACTGTCATAATATCATAAACATCGTATATCGTAATACCATATATCGGGATGTTATATGCAGATATTTCTCAAAACTTTTAAAAAAAAATAATGACTTCTTTATTTCATCTGCATATGTACCATAATAAAACATTTTAGATTTGCTTTACTGCAGTAAGTAATGAAGAAATTTTAACTGTATGTTATAAGTCTAGACGGTGGTTACTGGAAGAGACATGTTGTCAGCTGTTCTAGTCAATTAAAGTCATAACTGAAGAGAAAGCAGTTGCGTAATCACAAATGTCATTAATCACGATATATGATGAATAAAAATGCATCTAAACTGCCGAAATTATCATAAAAGCTGGGTATAAGATCATACCTACATGTAAATTGTGTATATAGGTTTCATGAATTTAAGAAAATTTTATAGAAAATTGTAAAGTATTCTGGAAATAATTGGAATCGCTAAGGACATTACTTGAAAGCAGTCTGAACGTGTACTAGTCTACTTGTAGTACTCAGACACTTGGACAGATTCAAACGGTTAATCAAAATTATCACTCACCTATTAACATTCCATTTAAATTGTTAATTGATTGTATATTGGGTTAAACAAAAGATGTCATTAAATTTGATATGATAATATAGAACACCTTGTTATGTATTTCATTGTTGGCTGGGTCACATTCGCTAGCTTCTTTGAACTACCGAAAATATTCTATACATCATCTAGTTTTACGAGCACGTGACAATTGAAGATTATTCTAGCAAATCATAATTGTCAGTTTTGAATATTTAATGAAAGATTGCAGGATTGTCAGTATCCAAACCACATCATTAACTTAATATTTCATCCGTCTGAAGATGGACACTTTATAATCACTATTTGCCATGTTCATCTTTCTTCTAATGTGACAATTTAAAATCATAGGAGTGTGGTGGAAAAGATTTGCCTGTCTGGCGCATCTAGTGATATATAATGATTTATATGTGCTATTATCTACTATTTTTGCATACAAAGCCGAATTATTTCCTGACCGTGAAAACAAAATGCTTCTTAGACATGATCAAGAATAGTTTAACCGCGTTTTATCAACGATTTCAGGCGTTAAAGCTGTTAAGAGCATTCAAATTATCGGGGTTGTATTATTTGCACATAAATAGGAATGATAAGCTTAATACAGACTACCTAATTTTGCGATGAAGAAATATGTCAACAATCAATAATCACGAAAAGTACATTGACATAAAATTAGAGGAAATATCATAAGCGTTTCTGTTTATAAACATTGCTAGTATCTTGTTAGCATAGTAAATGGTTTGATTAGACTTCAAATATTGCAACAGAAATTTTCGAATGCAATTTAAAATCTTTGGTAAATTGAAATGTAAATGAAATTTCATTGATAAGTAAAAGGGATCAGATTCCTGAGGTATAATTTGACTTTAATTGGTAGATAGAATGAATGTTAAGATTCAGGATTTTTTATTTGCACAGTTTTCAGTCGTATAATACAATGGAAGAAAGAAATCAATTTAAGTATATCATACATGTATGATTAGCGGATTACTCAAATATTTAAACTTTTATTGTGCGTTCGAATGTGTATTTTATATCATTAGATTATGTATTAATGTATGACTAAAATTTTTGTTCCACCCTTTGCATCTATTCATCAGATTATTATATTGAACTGTTTTTCTCTTCCGGTTAAATATTTGAACAGGCAAACACAATAAAACTTAACATATGTTATGAAACATTTTTTACCATAGCCCTTTACCAATGTGTTATTCAGTATGTTGATTTGACTAATGCCTAGGCCTGATTTGTGCTATATCGTATTAATGCTCTATTGGGCGCCAAAGAAAAGCATGAAGATGAATAGAGTGACTACTTTGTCGTACTTTCTCTCTGCACCAGATGAAAACACGGAAATACGTTAAGGTGTTACATAGTGGTAACTTTGTCGTATTTTCGTGTTTTCGTTGAGCAAAATACAGTAAGGGATAAATCAACCACCACAGTAATGCGATTTTATATTAACTATGTATCATTTTGAATGTGCTTTTATGTATGTGTATTTATATGTTTGAAATTAAACTAAACCGCATCTGTAGATATAACAATTGACAATTATAGTATGATTCAGCGTATTGCATGTGTAACCTTTACATCGTATTTCATTTTATATTTATTTGTTATGAGCACGTGCCTTTAAACAAAACAGATGTTTTTTAATGAGCACATTGCCCTTAATAACTTTCATGTTACAGAATATTTGAGTCACAATTATTTTCGATTTATTGAATAAATGCAGAAATGTTTGTATGAATATTTTTCTTTTCTTTTGCAGATTATCAAGATGATGATTACTGTTGTTGTAATTTACTCCATCTGCTGGCTACCTTTACATATTATCACAATAGCTGGCGACATTAACATCACCTTTTACAATCTACCAGGAATGAATATTATGTGGACGGTGGCACACTGGCTAGCCATGTCAAACTGCATGTATAATCCGTTCATATACTGTTGGATGAATGCTAAATATAGAAATGGATTTATTAATGTGTTCAGTTGTTTTACATGTGGATTATTAAAATCACGTGAGGAGAAAATAGAACTTCAGCGCATGCGTAGGAGCCACAATAACACCACCTCGGTAGGATCTACTTTCTCGCACCCATATCATAGAGCATCAGCCACATTTGACACTGAATATTCATTCGTTGATGGGAAACATGTTCCATAAAATATGTTCTTATTAATTTTCTTGATAGCTTGTATTTTAAAAGATTTTTCATTCATATATAAGTGTATATGTTAAGTAGAGATGACAAAATGCTATCTTTAAAATACAGATATGTTTGCCACTTTAAAATAATCGGATTTGTATTAATTTTCAACATAACAAATATCTATGTTATCTCAAATTCTCTTTTCAATAAAAATACATTTCGTGATATACAAAACTTAGGGGAGGGAATATTCGATGTTAGTTTTCAGCACTTTTGTTTCGTCAAGTTCATGTAGAACGATGAGACATAATAAAATAATCAAATTAAAATAAGATTACAAAATTCAGCTTCAAAGAAATAAAACATAAGAACTTAAAAGATTTCAATTCTTGAAATTAAGATTATAGACTGATCGACTTTATATGATCTACAGAAGGTACACATTAATCGTTAGAAATGACTTTAAAAATTAACGTGAAATTATATTATTGGTTATAATAAGCATTTATAAGAATGTTTTGTTACATGTATCACATAGTTTTTTTTATTTGAATGTGTTACATTTCTTTGATTACAGATGTTAATAATATTATTATTATTCATTGATTTACCTTACTGGCAAGAAGGTTTCGTAATTTATTTCTTCAATATCCTTTTTTCAACACCCTGCTTACTTAGGGCAGGTTTTTTTTCAAAACAATACAATTGTGTTGCATTGTTTATGGAGTCCATGCATTTAAAAAATAATACGCAAACAATGAATTAACCTTTTACCGTATCTGATATCAAAACATTTTGCTTTTAGATTAAAACGATAACGATGCAACACAACTGCTATTAGTTCAGGTAAGTATATATAAACTGCATGTATGAACTTGTTCATTGTTGTTTTCAGCCTTACATAAAGATCGAGGTAAATACCAGGTCGTGCCCGGGAAATTCTGTGCCAACCGTGAGAATAAAATGGGAGTCGATCAACCGTCATGACTCATTGTAACAGTCTTAGCTTATGTGCTTACATTTTCTATATCCTCTAAATGCTAATGTCAGAAAGCTGTGTAGTGTTACCCTTGTGTACGTCTGTACTGATGGAATATCGTGATAAACTTATATTTCCTTTCTTTTAATGAGTAAATCATGATAAGGTAGCCTGTTCGGCATGCTAACACGTTGTAAAGCGTGCCAAAATAATGTGTCATCTTGAAGGCAAATGTTTCTATATTTATATTATGTTCGCATACTCACTAAAAATTGGAAGAATGTAAGTGTATAAACGTTCGCATAATTGGATAAAATGATGAAATAATGAAAATAATTAGATGCTTTAAGTATTTTAGTGTGAGAATAAATGTTATCAGCATTGGGTCAAATACCTTATGAATATTGGCAATTTAAGCAAGTTTAAAACACAAAACTTTTGATAAAAACATACCACATAATCGTTGCTTACGCTTGCATAAGACACGTTTTAAGGCTTACGCATTCTTGAATAAGTTGGACACTATATACTGATTTACGGTCCCATATGATCATTACTGTTTTAATACAGCTATGGACTAATCTGAAGAATAACATTGATACACAATTTGGACTTATCTGAAGAATAACATTGAAACACAATTTTATGTCTTATTTTTACTCCGGTATTAGTGGGTATAAACGGTATTTAATTATACCGTCCGTTAACAGAAACGTCTTGAACGTTTTCAGTTTTGCCGTGTTGGACGACGTTCAAGGTTTCAGGTTTATCTATTTAGATATGAATTTCTACGAACTAACTGGTATTGATGAAAAATAATGCTCCATATTATATGTTTAACATAATATTATTGTAAGAAAACTGTTATTCAACAACTTACATGCATATTACTTGTCATGAGTTTTAGTGTTATAAAAGTTTTAAGCTTTTGATAAATTGGCGAAGGAATTTCCCATTGGTGTTAAGTCAGTGTAATATATTAAAACGTTTGATGAATACCAATAGGATTCTTGATGTTTTTATTTGTAAAACAGACTGTCTTAATGATATAACTATATTTTCTTTTCATGTTGTTTTAGATTCTGTTTCTGTTTGTCATATTTTACATGTGTTGCTTATTCGATATATGTATATGTTCAATTTGACTTGTAATAAATATTTGAATTTAACAACTATTTGTTGTCTTACTTGATAAATATCTCAGAAGAAGAAAGTCTGTGTTCACTAATGTTAATCATTCAATCTCGTCATTGAAAGGTATAGAAAATTGCTGGTCTCCTCCGTAAATGTAAAATATCTGTATACTGATCAAATGATTTAATACAAAATAAAAGTGAAAACGTACTTAAAAATAGCATCTGCCGCAGTCTTTTGATTTTTTGTTTTAATCATGACATATTTTCACAGAATTTATTTTAAGAAATTGCTTCACTCGTATGTTACTTTTATATGTTATGGTAATAGACTAAAGTATATGTTTGAAACTAAATTTAACATTTTTAACATTCTTGTTGAATATATTTGTATTTCCTACACTGTTCTTTCTCAGGAGTTTGAAATACAAATATATTAAACAAGAATGTTAAAAATGTTAAATTTAGTTTCAAACATATACCTTAGTCTTTTACCATAACATATAAATAAAATAAAATATTTAATAACAAATATTCCGCATATAACAACATGTAACACTGTTTCAAATGCCAAATACAGAAAATTCAAAGATAATTGTTATATCATTAGTATTCAGATTTAGGCGGAGGAGCTGACTTGATTGCATAATACAGACATTCCCGCGAGATATGTAAGAGTGGCATTCTTTTATAAGTTACCAGACAATCAAATGTCAGATGATGCACACACCTGTCTCGAATCTTTAAACAATCCTATACTTCTAGGTGTTACACTGTTACATTAATGCAGTAATTGACCTACACTGTAGAAGAATTGTCGTTGTTTAATTGTAATGATTAACACCTAGAATTTGAATTAGAAAAAGTCAGAAAGACCCAGACGTGTAAAGGACTTTTCGTACAAATATTTGTTAAAGAAACCAAAGGCAATTTTAGAATCTTTATACGAGTATAAGTCAATACAGACAATTGAAGATAAATGTCTATAAATAACATATAATCTATTACATGACAGAGGTATTATATAGATCAGATTCATTGGCTTTTAGTAGTCTGTCAGACGTTTAAACTCAATAGAAATTTAAACATTCTCCCCTTCCTAAATCATATTTTGACGTTTGCATGAGCACCTACATAAGTCATTTTCATACAGACACATTTGCATTTTCTCACAAGAAAAGCAACATTATAACATGAAACTCTTTTCTAAAAATAGGATTTAATGTTTCTTGTCTTGATTAAATATTATACCCTGAAGAAAATAGCATAAGAGTTAAACATATCCATCTCGTTGGATGCGTTTTATAATTAAAATTTCAATCGATTCTAATTCGCATTTTTTTTTCACTTGCTTTGCAGCTATATATTATATGAGAATCATTTTGTTTCAGAACATGAATAATCAAAGCAAACGAAATTTGTTATTGTGCTCTCATTTGATTTATATTTATTAAGATATATTGTCTCCAACACTAAATATATTGAAAAGAGAAACATTTTTGTTTTAATTTGTAGCGTAAGCGTTATCATAAAGATGTCAACATTTTCAATATTATATAAAACATGAAATAAGAACAAGATTTGAGTTTCCTCTTCCAATAAGTTAATTTTTTTTTTTGTAAAATACATACTCATTAAGTAAGAAATCTGAATTTTAGAACATTGATTATAGGTAAATTTATTGAAATTGTATTCATGAAAAAATATAATCACAATTTTACCACAAACTACATCAATATCGTTTTTTTTGTGAAGTTTTACAGATTTTTTTATAAAATGCAATTTCTCCCTAAAAATGAAAAAGAAGAACTGCTTAAGGATTGACAGTGATTCAAATTGAAACCTTCTAAATGAATTTGTCTGAAGATTATAGGACTGGAATAAACTAATTTGCAAAGACATCAAATAACTGCAGTTACGCTGGGGAAACTATCAATTCTCGAAGAAAATTATTCGAAATGATTTAGTACGCACAGTTTTTAGTATCATATTTATGATTAAACTAATTTTAAAAACAATCGGTTCTTTTTAAACTGTTTGGCACAGTACTAACGTACTCTATAATCTCCTCTTTATAATAATATTCAACAATTAATATTTTCATGTCATTTCATTGTAAACTTTAGTCTGAAAAAAAAACACAAAAAATATCTTAGAATGATAACGGAAGTCAAATGTTCATATAACAGGACAGGATCTCAGATCCTGATATGCAAATCGTTCCAACATAACGTCACGTGTTCTAATGAAAGCTTCCATGCACCAAAAATGCCAGAAGTTTGATTAATGCTTGCTCTCTGAAACAGCTGATAGTCACCTATATATATATAATTAGATTAAATTAATGTATTTTACCAAAGGCAGTCGTTATTATTTCAGAAAAAATATTTCCAAGGTTGTTAAGATTTAGGCCTTGTGAATGTTGATATCAGCCATTTAAAGATGTGGCTTGGGTTAAGCAGATAAATGGATTAATATACCATAGAGGAGAGCGTAAAGCAAGGTGTCAGGGTTTCATTCATCTGACCGCATTATGTCATAATTGCAGAATTACGTTAAAGACAAGAATTTGAACTTCCAAATTGTCAATTAAAACTGATGTATCAAAATTAGAACAGTAGGAATAATTTGAAATAAATCCTGTAAAGAAATGACACATTTGTAATCTATAATAAAACGAAAATTCAGATCAAACTTTAGAAAATAATCAAAATTTATCTTGTTTAAATAAATAATGTGCCTATTAGTTTATTAGATTATAATTAGAATCTGTTTATCGGTATAATAATTCGATTATGATGAAGTACCGCTTCCTTCTCACCACAAGAGAATAATAAAAGGAATTATTCTAACATTTGGAATTATTTTTTGAACATAAGAAAAAATATCGAATTCATCATGTTCCGATAACAAATTTTTCAATAACGTCAACAGGCAATTACTATCTTTTTTAGAATTCACAAGTGCCCTCCTATAATTTGTCGCAAATTGAGATTTTAACAATGAAGTGTTATTAGATTTGAATTGCTAAGAGTGATTTAATAAGTTGCCATAGAAAGAGGTCAAGGTTTCTGACAATTTGTCTCGCATATATACTTTATCGTTGTTATTTAAGCTTTCCATATCACATAGATAGTATTATTCTGTAAAGATACATGTCATAAAACAACTACAAAATCAAAGTCAACATCAAGAAATAACTGTGAACATGAAAGTACATCTGTTGATGCCATATATTCAATACCAAGGACGACATAAAAAGAAATCTTTCTGTCAAAAATAAAATTGTACACAATGGAAAAGTTTATAAATTTATGATATTGCATTTTCTCGTACTTTCTGTGTTAAACGTCTTGAATGATACGTTAACATCGCAGGCAAGTTTATAATTAGTAAACATCGTACGCATGTTTATCAAGTGCAAGTGTCCGTCTTTAGCATCCCTGGACAATTGCTTCAGTTCTTACGTTGGAATAAAACTTGTTATTGCCTTTAAAGCATTATGCACAATTTAGATTTATTTCATACCACTGTTTCGATGTCACATGAGATATATTAAAAATATGTGAAGGCTTTGCCGTTTGAAATAATGAAATATATCAGCTATAACATAAGTGATACATTGTGTGTCAATGAAGCATACGTAGGAAACCTTTTTTTATTTAAGATAATATCAAAATAATTGGCGTTTCATTGAAAAGTTATTCACTGGATATTGTAGAGGAATCGTTCATCAAATGTTTTAGAAAAGGGACATAACGTCTTAAAATAAAATATATATTCAAAGTCTTTTGGTGTGCTTAACCTTGAACAAATGGACAGAACAGATTAAATATGATTTAAAAAGCAATACACATATTAAATTTTGATTTACTCACTGGGATTCTTAACAAGATATTTTAAGTATTGACAGCAAGCTTTATTTCAGTAAGTTTTGATTGTTAAATACAATTTACCATAAGCAATCTTACGGAACGTCGGTGGTTCTACTCATCAACCCGTTCGTGCCTGAAATAATGCACGGAAGGGCACCTGAGGTCTTCCTCCACCAATAAAGCTGGAACGTCGCGATATGACCTATACTGTGTCGATGTGACGTAAAACCCAAAACAAACAAACAAAACCATAAGCAATGTTGATAAAATAAAAAGAAATGTAGATGCATAAAGGAAGAAAAATCATCCATTCAAAAAAAATTTAGCTTTGTCGTTTTGGATTCTTCAAAAATACTGAGGAGATTTTTCTTTGAACATTTTTATATTTTGAAAATGTCAATATTTGAAGTTCGATAATTTTCCGGGAGAGTATATTAAAGTGAATTTCAAATAATTTTCAACAATTCAATTTCTTCAGTTTTAATTACAAAATACGATTATCAGATCGGGAAACAATTTGAAACTTTACCACATCCTTATTTGTCTGAAATTAATTTCATATATTGGCAAAGCTACAGGTTTTATTAACTGCTCATTTAAAGGTAATAACTAAAGGTATTAAAGTATTCCTCACTACATCATAAGATTGTCTTATTCATTTTAAAATAAAGAATCGATAACGCCTCCGTTCTTTCTAAAACTTACTGTTTCTCTTCTTACCGACTTTTAAGTATTTACTGGGTCCAATTCAACATCTAAGAAAAAGTACTTGATTTAGCATATTATTGCAGCTGCAATTTTCATCATTGCCATCTTTTCCAAAGTTTTGGTAACTGTACGTGTGCTTGGTTTTTTGTATTGTTTGTTTGTTATGTTATGAAGTAAGTAAGCAATTATTATTAATAAAAACAACTAAATAAATTCAATATCAGTAGAAAATATAGTTGGAGCCAAATACAAAACCGCTATATAATTTAAGTATTTTACCTCCATCGACATTTACTTAGACATAATCATAAAAATTTATTGCAAGGTCTACAATGAAAATAAGTTAACCGTATTTTCAAATTTACATAGAAACAAAGGAACTATTATCTTGAATCGGGATC